AAGGTCAAAGACATCCCCAGGGCCCTACGGGGAGGCGGGTGGACAGCAGGAGGACGAGTCCAGTACCGTCTGGGATTGAGTGTCAGGGAATAGCATTGTCAGGGGTGGTCCTCAGGGCCCTATCCCGACCCAGGGAACCCCAAGGCCAGTTGGTGTGGCCATTCCTGTGGACCCTGTTTACCACCGGCCCTGCCCACCCACTCCTGCCCCCAGAGGTCCACTCAGGGTCAGCCTGCAGGGTCCGGCCCCAACAGGTGTCAGGTCTCTAAAGAAGGATGGAGAATATAAGCTCATTAGGACACCCCAACCCCCAGCCCAGAGGCTCCACCAAGAAGATAAGGCACAGAGCTGACCCCTGACCTCCAGCCCCCTCCCCACTGCACCTTCCAGGCCTTCCCCTGGGTGACAGCCAGCTTCTGCCCAGCCCTCACCTTCTAACTGGGCCTTGGAGACCCTGAGCCTTCCCCTCACTCCCTGCCCATCACAGGGACCCTTCACCCCAAGGACAGGGCTCCCTCCTGAAGGCTGAGGCTCCAAGGCAACCCCACCCTAACCACTCCATTCACACACCCCTCCAGGCAAGCTGGCCACACTTGTCCTCCACTCCCTGCCTAGGCCCGCCCCACTCTGGCTGGGGCTGTGCACTTTCCCCCTTCACTGCCCGTGTCACCCTCTGTCCACTGCCTCCCACTGTCCCCTAGCACCTGCCAGCCTGAGTGGTAGAGAGCTTCCCACTGGGCCGTGAAAGCAGCCACTACGTCCCCCTACTTCCTTTGTCCCGAGGCCCCAGCGGAGTTGGTCCTAGAGCTGAGACCTACCTGAATGCATCATCAGAAGGCGGGGGGGGTGAGGCCTCTGCTCCCTAGACCAAAGAGAACATGCATCAGTCTGTCCATTCGGCTCCCGATTCCCCCGCCCCAGCTTGACGACCAGGATGCTGGCCTAGCTGTGACCAGATCACTGGGGGCCCGGCCACCTCATTTCCCAGGTGCCCCATACCCACATGTCCCAGGACTCCAGCTGGCCCACCAGCCCTGACCCCCGCTTGCCTCATTCTGGGGAGAGGGCTTGGCAGCTCTGGCCCCTGGCCTCTGTCTGCGGTGGCATGGCAGGGGGTGTGGCCCCCAGGAGCGCAGAGGCTGAAGAAGGAACTCCTGGGGCCCCACAACCCCTCCCCCAGCAGTGCCCGCAGAGGGGCCCACAGAGGCCAGAGGGACCAGAGGAGTCCCTTGAACTCAGAACAGCCTCTTGGTGGTGCCTGATGGCACATGCGGAGGGATGCACAGGAGGGAGGGGCCCTGGTGGCCTCAGGGCTGAGGGCAGGGTCTGACCAGGGGGAGGGACAGTGGCCCATGGCTGGCATGGCCACTGAGCCTGGGCCTCGACCTCCCAAAGCCCTCGAGGGATGGGCCCAGGGCGAGTAAGGGGAGAGGACCCGGCATCCGCGCTCCATGTGGGGATCCCAGCCCAGTGGCAGCACCTTGGGGGGAACTGGGAACTGGACTGGGGGTGCAGAAACCCCAAGCCCGCTCCGGGGAACCTAGCTGGATGCCACAGACTCGAGTCAGAGCACCCCAACCCTGGCCCTAGGGCCAGGCTCAAGGGACAGTCCTGGGCACGCTGAGCCAGTCTCACGGTCACCTAGTGCTAAGGAGCCCTTGTGAGGGCCTGGGACTTCGGCAGTGCGTGTCTGACCTCTGACCCTGTGACAGGAGGCCAGCGCCCACCAGGAGCCACAGATCCATTCCTCACCATCCAGGGGCCCCCAGACTGCATCTGCTTCCGGGGGCCAGTCCTGCAGGCGCAGCCTCAAACCCAGCACTGAGCACCAGTGGGATTCAGATCTACCCTAGCCCCTTGCTGGGGGCCAGGACCCCTGACCCCCAGTTCTGGGGAAGTGGGTTGCACACGCTCTGGGGAGATGAGGAGAGAGGACTCCCAACATGGGTCTGCCCATTCCAGGGGCACCCAGCCCCACCAGGCAAGATCCCTGAGCCCCAGACCCCATCCCCAGGGCTATGCTGGGGTGCGGGGGCAGCTGTGGAGGGCCGGGCCCTCCTCCTCCAGAGTCACTCCATCCCACAAGATGCCTTGGCCACCAACGCCCCCAGAGGGCCATGCCGGTCAGTGGCCATTCCTGTGGCCCCTTCCCTCCTCTGGCTGAGGACTTCACATGATAGCCCAATCCCAACCAGCCCAGAGGCACGGCCACACCTCCAGCCAAGACCAGCTCCAGCTGTGCCTGAGTCCCTACCCAGGTGGCCCACAGCCCTTCCCCACTGCCTCACCCCCAGACGGACTTTCCCTGAAGTGCCAGGGGTCCACCTCAGTCGAGGACACAGAGTCCATAGCCAGGATGCCCACCAGGGGCAGGGGTCCACAGAATGCCCGGTGCTGGCCAGCCCCCCTGGCTTCTTACGGTGGGGAGAAGGCAAAGCAAACTCTGGGGCCTCAGTGGGCTCTGGTCGCAGACGCCTGCCACCCCCCAGCTGTCTGAGGCTGAGAACCTCTGCGAGTGCAGCAAGACTGAGCCCGGACAACAAGGGACCCCAGCAGCAGCAGACGCCACCCCCACCCCCCATCTCGTGGCCCTGGCAGCTCACAGCCTTATGTCCTTGGCAGCCAGACTGGCTGGGGCGCCTCGGGGCGGAGGTGACAAGAGCGGGTCTGATGACGGCTCCCGTGAATAGAAATCTACCGCCCGCGTGCCTCTGCCACCTCGTTAGACCCTCTCCGTGTGCCCAGAGAGGTAAGGACTGCTGTCCCCATCTAAGCAGGAGGAAACGGAGGCTCAAAGAGGTGTAGTAACTTGCCCAAGGCCACCCAGCTGGCAGGGCGGGTGCGGCTCAGCCCCCGAAGCCTGGCTTTCCCCACACTGCAGGGCACAGGAACCCCACTCAGAGCTCCCAACTCTGGGGGCAGTGCGGAGGTGGCTCCTCCAGCAGGGTGATGGGCAAGGGTGCAAATGGGTGGGACAGGGCGGGGCGTGGCCCCTGGGATGTGCAGGAAACGTGAGGTGGGAGCTCTGCCACCCAAAGGGGGGAGATGGGAGGGCGTAGGGGCTCCAGGCTCAGAGCAGGATGCCCCCTGGCGTCACTTGGACAAAGGGAGCCCCCTGCCTGAGACCTAGTGACTACCAGGGACATCACCGTGGTCCACTGAACAGGGGGACATGCCACACACAGTGCACGCACGAGGCAGAGCACACACGTGCACAGGCACACACACATGTGCATTAATGCACACAGACACCACACGTGCACAGGCACGCACGCATGCATTCATGCACACCGACGCCACACATGCGATGCACACACGCCACATACAAACACATGCGTGTACACAGATGCACATTCCTGTGCGCACATCACATGCACACACGTGTGCACACATTCCACATCAGACCTACACATGAACACCGTGCACACACATATATGCAAATGTATGCAGCCTGTGTACACACTACAGACACATGCACACACATTACACAACCCGTGCACAGCACACATACATGCAAATGAATGCTCATGCGTGCACACATCACACGTGAGTGCACATGCATCACACACACAGGCCCCGTCGGCCGCCAGGCGCTGCCTCTCCTTTCTCAGGCCTCCAGGGCACTCTGGCTGAAGGCAGCCTACCCAGGAGAGGCCCCAGGCTGCTCCCGAGACCCACAGGCTGGGGGGACTGGGCCCCCAGATTTCAGAGACAGTCAAAGGCCCCACTGAGAGTGCTTAGGTGGGAGGGGGAGGGGCTGGCAAATGGAAAAGGACAAGACGGTAAGAAAAGAACAGTTTATTTCCAGTCTAAGAATGTATTACAAACAGTGTCAGGTTTTTAAAAACATCAGAGAGCAACAAAGGTCTTCAGCCGACAGTAAAGGTACAAAGCCAAATCTTTACAGATGAGCGTGGCTTGCCCCCCCCACCCGCCCCGGCCAGGGGCTGAAGGCAGAAAGTGCAGGACGGCGCCAGCCCGCGTCCGGAACTGCATGGGCACGAAGCCGCAGAACGATGAGACAAAACCAGGCCAGGCAGCTGCACCCCATGCAGACAGACCATGGAGGGCGCCGGAAGCTGCTGCACCCCTGGGCCGCGACATGCCCTCCAAATGCACATGAACGGGCCCTGGGAGCCCTGGCCTCCTCTGGTCCCCACCATGAGCCTCAGCCAGGAGGGTGGGCGGGGGAGCGAGCTGCGGGTCCCAGAGCCTTCGTGGGGCTTCCTGGCAAGCTGACACTGTGGGCTGGCCACTGCAAGGACATCACCGCCTTGCTCCCTGCTCCTCGGGGGCTGCAGCCAGGCCCTCCCCGCCTGCCCCTGGCCCGGAAGCCTGCAGGTGTGAGAACAGGCTGGTGGGTGAGCCATGACAGTCCGCATGCCAGGAGACCCAGATCCGACAAGTCCCTGCACCCCCTGAGCCTCAGTTTCCTCCCCTGTAAGATGGGCCCCTGTGGTGCTGCTTCCCAGAGGACACATGGGGCAGACAGGCAAATCTCATCCTGCATGCCTTGTGCCACATGTCCCATGCAGGATGCCTATGCACAGCAGAGGGCACGGATCCAAGAGGTCAAGCACGGCCATCCCCTGGGTAGGCAGTGAACAGGACAGGGAGACGGCCATGGCCAGTTAGGGGCCTCCCAACCCCACTCACTCCCAGGGTGTGGCAGAAGTCGGCCAGGACATGGCGCTGCCTGTGTCTCCAGCACCTGCTCCTCCCTCGGGCTTTGGGATGCCAGGAGCGCCCAGCCGGCGCCACCCAGAGCGTCCCACTTTCCAGAATGCATTTGCAGCTGCAGGCCACTGGGCCTCTCCAAGACCCGGGAGCCCTCTCTGCAGGCTCCGCTCCCCAGAGGGCAGGCTCTGGGGGTGTCACCCCTCCCTCCAGGCCCTCCCCACCGTGCTGCCACCATGCCCACAGTCGGGTACCCCCTCCCCTTCACTCTGCCAGGAGGGACAGAACGCAGACCCCGCAGCAGCGGGCCTGGGCTGCGGCTCTCAGGGAGGGGAGTTTACCTTGAGTCCTCCACAGACCGGACAGGTGGAAAAGAAAGCTGGAGGGTGCCCAGCATGGGGGCTGCCTGCTTCCCAGCCCTCGCCAGGGGCCTCACAGCCCGGGGCCTCCGTTGCCTGTCCCCGCCGCCTTGTGCCCAGCCAGCCGGAGGGACACCCCGTGGACATCTGGCCCCCCGAGTCCCCGGCCCCAGCGTCGTCGGGGCCACCCTGCACGGCCGGGCTCTGGTCCCTGGGGGCCTGGCGCAGGCTGCGCGGCGTGTCATAATGGTGCCGCTGGGCTGTAGGCACTTGGTACTCAGCTGTCCCCGGCGGGCAGGCGCACAGGCTGGGCTCGGGCACCCCGGCCACCGGCGGCAGGCTGAGCAAGGAGCCAAACTCGTCCCCCGTGCGCCACACATCCAGGCTGCTGCCGGCACAGGATGAGAAGCTGCCTGAGTAGGAGGAGTGGCTGCCTGTGGCTATGCCGCTGTCCGAGGAGCTCTGGCGGCCGACTTCCTGCAGCTGCCTCGGCCGCAGTGGCTTAGGGGGCTGCCTGGAGGTGCCCGGCGCAGCCTCTCCAGACACCTGGGCAGCCGCCAGCCCCGGGCCCTCCTGCGACGTGCTGGCCGAGGACAGGGACGGCTCTGGCCATGCTGTGAGTCGGCTGCCGGCACTGACATCTGAGTGGCTGGCCTCCGAGGATGAGCTGGACAGGCTGCGGTCATCCCCTGAGACAGAGCGCAGGGAGGTTGGGGGTGTGGGTGCTGCTCTGGGGGCCTGGAGCAGGTTTGGGGGAGCTGGGGGGCGACATCAGCCAAGGGCCCACCCTGCCCCCTACCCAAGCTCCCCCACTGCCTGGAGGCTGGTGCACAAACCAGCTCAGCGAGTTCCGGTTCCTTGTCGAATACCAGTCCTTCACCCCTCCAGCCCCCTTGGGAATCCATGCTCTCCCTCCAGCCTCCTTGGCCACTGCCCTCTGGGAACCAGATGTGAGCCCCCGGAAGGTTGCTGCTTGATGCAAATCGAGGCTCCCTGCTCTAGGGGCAGGCCACTGTGCTCCCAGTGCACCCCCGGAGACTGGCAGCAGTCAGAGAGGACAGACAGGCCCTACAGGGCAGCTCCCCACCCCCATCCCCAGCCAGGTCCCTCACATGGCCACAGCCCCTTCTGTCTGTTTTGCAGCAAACTGAGAGTCACAGGCTGCCAAGAAGGGGCCTGTCAGCTGGGCACGAACGGTAAAGCTCGACCACAAGAGGTTGTGGCCGGATTCAGACATGGGCAGCAAGAATTCACACCAGCCCTCCCCGCTCTCTAGAAGCACTGTGCCTCCGGTCAGGGCCAAGGCCAGCACTCCGTGTTTGTGGCATCACCCGTGAGGGGACGAGGGGATGAATGAGTGGGGGGAGGGCAGAATGAGAGAGCAGGGGTAGGCAATGAATGAATGTGTGAGTGAGCAGGGAGGATGAATGAGCAAAAGAAGAATGAGTGAACAAAGGCCAAGGAATGAATGAGTGAGCAGAGGGGAATGAATGAATGAGTGAGAAGAGGGGAGAATGAACGAATGAGTAGACCTAGAGGGAAGGAACGCGCAAAAGCACAGGAGCCCAGGCCTTCCCCACGGCGGCAGCCCCGCCCCTTCTCCGCCCCGCCCCCCTCCCCGTGCCCGCTCCCGCCCAGGCCGCCTACCTCCACTGCCCGGCCGGACCCCATGGGAGAGGAGGCTGAGCCGCTTCTCCAGCTTCAGGGCTTCCAGGGCCTCCTGGGCTATGCGCTCCTCAGCGGTGGCGGGTCCCCCGGGGCTTGGGTCTGCGGCAAAGAGGACAGTCAGCAGAGACGTGGCCTCAGTTCCCGACCCCGGACCCCCGGCCTCAGAGTCCCGCACCTCCGGGGCCACACGTGTGCTGAGCGTGCTTCGAGGCCACTGCAGGGCCACGGGGGACCCCCCAGGAGTCCCAGCTCCTCCCCACACCTGCACCCCAGCCACGGGACACCAATCTCAGGGCGCCTGCCACCTCCAGGCCCCTCGGCCACGGCCACCAGCCCATGTCCTGTGCCCCAAAGCGGCAGGTGAGGCCCAGGGTGGGGACGTGGGCGTGTCCTCCTGACCACTTCCCCTCTGGCAGCCGATGGGGCAGCAAGACGCCGGCGCTGGACGAATGCCCTGAGCCTTTGTCCACATCTGCAAAGTGAGGGTGCAGAGAGAGTGCACCCCGACCGTGGTGGGACCGAGCCTGGAGTGCAAGGGGCTGTGCTCAGGGCAGGGCAGACCTCGGAACTCTCGCTTCTCCCCTCCCAACCATCTGCATAGGGTGGCCTGCCTCTCCGGCCCTTGGTGTCCACGCGGATCCGACTGAGCAGGGGGTGAACGCAAGACCCCAGAATGCCTGGAGCGGGGACCTAACCCAGTGGAGGCCACATCTCAGGATGAGCTCAGAGCCTAGATGCAATGCCAGCCAGGACCGTCCACACCTGTCCACACAACTGGCCTCACGGTCCCGCCCACACCCTGCTGTCTTTGCGGCACCTGTGTCTGCAAGGCAGGAGGGCGCCAGCAGAGGGCGCCGCCATACTGTCTCGCAGAGCCCAGATCGCAGGCTCTGGTCCTGGTAGCCTCCTCCTCCCCAGCCTGTCCCAGGGCCGTGTGGGGGGAGGGGGACCTGGCTGGTCGCTCCCCTCTGTCCTCTCCAGGTGGCCTGAATGGCCCACACAGTGATGCCCATGCAAGGAGGCCACAGATGTGAGCTCATTGACCGCGTGGCGACAGGCCATGGTCTCTCCCACCTGGACAAGGTGACAAGTGATCCCAGGTACCACCCCCCCCGTGGGCCTCGGTCAAAGGAGGTGATGAGAATCAGCCTTTGTCCCCCCGGGACTGTCCCCGAGGGGAGGGCAGACCTTCCTCCAGTGGGAGAAAGGGGCCGGGACCTCGGTGGTCTAGCCCTGCTCGCAGCCCCACATGCCTGGGCTAGCCTGGCCCTCCAGCATCCAGCTCCATCCTGGCCCAGGGCTCCTAGAGAACGTGCCCCAGCCATACCTCGGGAAGGGGGTGGGTAAGAGCAGGCGAGCTCAGGGCAACCTCACTCCCACCCGCCGGTGAGACCCCACCCATCCTTGAGACCCCACCCGCCAGTCACGCTCCCACACACACCTGGGAGGACCGGCCGCAGCCCAAAGGGCCCCTTGGTTGGGGAGATGCCACGGACAATGCAGTCGAACAGGAAGCTGATCTGTTCACCCTCGGCAGAGGACAGGAAGAACACTCCGGCCCCTACAGAGGGAAGACAGACCCTGGTGTCACCCGGCCCCACACGGGTGGGTCGGGACCCCTGCAGGATGGGTCCCCAGGGACACCAGGATGCAAAAGGTGGGGACCACACACACAGGAGTGGGGGTGGCAGGGAGTGTCCCCTGGGCACCCGATGAGCCCCTGCCCGGCCCTCGTAAGCCCCACTCCGTCCTCCAGGCCCACACATCTTGTCCGGGCAGCCGGGGCACATGCCTGGCCATCCCGGGCCTGTGTGCCCCAGCCCAGCTGTGGCCACCATGCTGCGTTCCAGGACAGTGCCGGGAGAGCGCATCCCATCCTTCTGGTCCTGAGTCCTGGGTCCACCAGCCAGGACGGAGCGCTGTGGGTGCCCCGGGAGGACATGGCCACAGGAAGATGCCTGTGAGGGTGTCCTGGCTTGTCAGAGGGGCAAGGGACAGGCTGCCCTAGAGTGGGGTTCACATGCCAGAAAGCAGCCGGGGGACCCTGACCTCAAAGGTGCCCCCCAACTTGGTCTCCTGACCCGGGGCTGCTCTGAGGGTCAGAGTCTGCGTGAGGTGGGCCTGCCCCACACACGAGGCAGCTGGCTCTGCCATGGCCAGCAACACACCGTGCCCTCTGCACGGGCCCCCTCCTGGGTGTGTTTTCACGGGGGACCCAGGCTCACGGTGTGCAGGTGGAGGCGGAGGTCCTGCCCACGGGGGCCCCAGCCAGCAGAGGGCAGGCCGCGTGAGTCAGCACAGCCCGGCTGCGGCCCCGCCAGCGTGAATGAAATCCCTCACCACCTGCCCAGTGAATGGGGACACCAAGCCACATGGGACTGGACACGCAGCTGCTGTCACCACACAAGAATCCCTCTGCGCCCTGCCCTCCACCCGTCGCCCAAAGAAAGGCATGTTTGTTCCGGAAGGCCAGGTCCCAGGGCGCCCCTGCAGGCGGACAGCAGAGGGAAGGGGAACGTTTCCCAGTTAAAACTTGGCTGCCGGCCACGGTCACCACCAGTCTTCCCGGGATCCTGGGGACTCGGGCCAGCCCCCCACACAAGACAATGCCCCCCACCAGGGATTGGGGCGCTCCAGCTCCTTCTGCTTGTTGGAGCTCCGTTTCAAAGCCCCCTGAAAGCAGGTGACAAGCCCACTTAGAAATGAGTACACTGAGGCCCGGAGGGGGCCAAGAGGGACTCCAGCCTGGCCAGCGGGCCGTCTGGAAACTCCCAGGCACCAAAGAGCTTCCAGCCAGATGGACGGGCCTCCGAACCGGGGCTTGCCGGCTGTGAGCTGGTGCCTGGGCCCGGGCTGGAGGGCAGTCGAGAAGGCCGGCCCACAGCGACCCGCCCAGCTGCGGCCCCACCCCAAGGAGGGGGCCGGCCTGCCAGCTCGCACAAAGGGCTGGGCCTCTAATCCCAAGATGGTCAGTGCCAGAGGCCACGGCACAACCAGTCCCCCGACTATAAAAAACCACAATGCTAAGGGAGGGGAGCTGACCGCATTCCACCAGGCGTCTGCTGAGCATCACGCTTCCCAAGACGCAGCCGGCGAGGCCTGGGGCCATGGCGGCCACCCCCACACACGCCAGTGAGCTGACCACAGAGGTTCCCTGGGGACGGCACATGGCTCTGAGGGCTGGGCTGCCCGAGACTCGAGGGAAGGCCTCCGGGACACACAGCCCGCTGATTGCTGGCTGGCCTCTGTGGGCTCCGCTCCCCCAGCCCAGGCCCTGGGGACCCTGGGAGCTCCCGAAGTACACCAGCCCACCTAAGCCTTCCCCCAAGGAGGTGGCCACCCCCATCCATCAACACCCTTCAGCCACCTGTAATGTCCCTTCACTTATCGAGCCTTTGCTCACCTGACGTCACTGTTCCTGACCCCTGAGCCCTGATCATCCCCTCCGTGCAGCTTGAGGGAGCCCCTCCTCTAGGTCACACCCTGTGGTCCTCTGCTTGGCATGTACCCTCATCTGCATGCTGTCCTGGCTTCCAGGCCCCATGTCGTACACGCAAGGACCACTTCAGAGGCATGAGGACCCCAGTGTCTCACCCAGGGCCAGCTGCCCAGGGGACACCCAGCACTTAGTACGGCGGAAACAGGGAAGCAGGAGGAGTGGACCTTCCCCAAGAAAGTGTTCCTGGCACTTGGGTATGCTTTGCCATGCAGTCACTGTGAAGACAGCCCCTGCAGCTTCCCCCATCCCTGTCCATGAAGCTCCAGCCCCAGGCAGGGTCCGTGCCTGAGGTCATCCTGCGCCTCCCAGCCAGGTCACCCACCAATGCCACAGCCTGAATGATCCGTCCGCCCCGTGAAGCAGAGATCCCTGACCCACAGAGTCACAGCAAAGACACAGCTGCCCAGTTTGGGGTATTTCTTGCCCTGAGATCACTGACACAGGCAAACAGGATGGGGAGGAGAGAGACCGTGCTGAGCGGGAAGTCAGCACCTGCTGGGTTCTCGGGGTCCACTGGCAAACCTCACGGGCTTTATAAGTGCAGTCAGTTCCTAGGACAATATCTCCAACGTGAAGGATGTCGCACCACACGGAAGGAGTCACGACCCCAAGAAAGAAACACTCTTCCAATCAAACATGGGATGTGCCAAGTTCCGTGGGCGGCTGTTAGTCCAGATAACCTCCAGGGCCCTGAGCTCTGCATGAGTTTGGTGTCCCGGCTTCATGGAGATCAAGAGCACACGGTGAAGTCCCGTTGGGGAGAAAGCGCCTGGAAGCATCTGGAGGACTTCCGTGCGGAGAAGGTTCTAGAAAACTCTGCCTGGGCAGCACCAACCTGCCTTGTGTTAGACTTCTGTTCAGAATGCAGCTGACCGGGACCCTCTGGTATCATTTTGCACAGGGCTCCCTAACAGAGGCAAACATCTGTTGAGCAGAATTTCATTTCTCTCTGCCCTTATTTTGAGAGACAGGACCAAAGTTCAACGAAACACATTCATTCAAAATCAAGTTTTCTATCTCCTCTGATGGTCTCACCCTCCAGGAAGACTGATTGAAAACAAACAGGTGTTGGCGGGAATGTGGGGAAACTGGACCCCAGTGCACTGTGGGAGGGGTCGGCGTGGAAAACAGTGTGGAGGGTCCTCAAAACATCAAAGGCAGACCCAGCAACCCCATGTCTGGTGTGTGCCCGAAGGAACTGAGAACAGGCACCGAGCAGAGGCCTGTGCCCCCAACAACCACAGCAGCAACCACAGATGGAGGGACGGATAAAAGAAGTGGTCCATCTATCTGCCCAGTGCAATGGAGCTCAGCCTCGAGGAAGGAGGACATCTGACACCTGCTACCGCACGGATGAGCCTGAGGGACGCTGTGCTCCATGCAATGAGCCAGCCACGAAGACACAGTGACCATGCTATCCCACTTCCGCGAGCCCCATACAGGAGTCAGATCCAGACAAGAAAAGTAGACGGTGGGTGTTGGGGTACGGGGAGGGGACAGACGGGTTAGTGTCCACGGGGGACAGAGTGTCAGCCAGCCTAGACAGGGCAGCGGGACAGCTGCACGACACTGAGCGCACTTAATGCCTCTTGACCGCAGTTAACATGTTAAATTCTGCGCGTGTCTATTTTGCCACAGTGAACGCAAAGCAAGCAATTCTTGTGTCCTCTCACAGGCACCGTGGCACGATGCAGCCCACCCTGGGCAGGGTGTAGGAATGCTGCTGGAGGGAAGCTCCATCCCTGAGGAGGGGATGCTCCTCCTCTCCGGATCCCTGCAAGGCCCAGTGAAGCCCACTCCTCAGTGACTCACCTTCCTCTCTGGTAGCCGTGCCACCCTCACCCGATGGGCACACTGGGCACCTGGGCGCTCCCTGCTCAGCCAAGAGGCTCCTTGGGGCAGACCCGCAATCTTACATTTCTCTGCCTCTCCCCAAGGGCCAGCTGACGGTCTTGAGTGGGACTCTGTGTCCAAGGACCAAACGTCTTGTGTTTGGTGATAGGGGAGGAGGCTGCCCCTCACAGGAGGCCACACTGCCTGTCCCCAAGGGCCAGGAGACACGGTGCCTTCCCCTTGGGCCTTTTTGCCCAGATGGAAAGAGTAGAGTGAAGCCCTCCCGGGGTGAAGCCCTCCCGGGGTAAAGCCCAGGGCATCGTCTTGGACACTCAGGGACCCCAGGACCAGCCTGGGACGCCAAGTCCTAGTGAGCTCCAAGGGGCCAACAGATTCCAGGCCTACTCCCAACACCAATGTGGTAAATTCCCAGCAGAGGGGTGCGATCGACCACAAAGCATCTGTAATGTAATGTACCTGGTGGTCTGGACCCAGAGAGCACACTGCATCTCCTCTTAGAAACCTGGAACTGTCCCTGTCAAATGACTGCAAACATAAATGTCCCTTAACGTGCAGCTGAGGGGAAGGGAGCCAGCTGCCAGGCCTTTGCATGGGCTGGATGCCTCCCCGTGGGCAAAGCACAGCAGCGGGCCTGGTCAGGGCAGGGGCTCCACCCTCCTGGGACCCTTGCCCCAGCAAGCACTCCTCCTTCTCCCGCCCACCCCAGGCTGGCAGTCCCTCTCTCCCCATTTCAACCACCCCGTAAACATTCCTGAAGTTCCCAGTGAGCTCCCACCCAAACATGTCACTGACTCGGCCTCAGACCACCTCCAGAGCTTTCTCACAGCCCTCTGCAGGCCCCCCACCTCAATCCCATCTGAAGCCTAGGGCCAAAGTCATCACCCTACACAGACACGTGGGTGGCATGCTCCCGCTCGAGGCCCTTCGATGGCTCCCTGTGACTCAGGGAAGACAGCGCAGACTCTGGTCCAGCCAGGCTCTCCGTAACCTGAGCCTTGCATCTGCCGCCCCCCCACCCCTAGCGGGGTTCCTGCACACACTGTGCAGGTCACCTGTCCGTGCTGGACACACACTGCTGCGCTCAGGGCTTCAGCCAGCTCCATCCAGACCGCCCAGTGTGCGGACCACAGCGTCCACCCGCCAGCAGACTTAGCAGAGCTGGACAATGCAAGAGTTCGCAGCACACAGCGAGAGACTTCCTCCTGGCTTACTCACTTGAAAAGTCGTTTACAACTAAGCTAAGGGGCGCCTGGGGGGCTCAGTCGGTGACATGTCTGCCTTCGGCTCAGATCATGATCCCAGGGTCCTGGGATCGAGCTCCATGTCAGGCTCCCTGCTCAGCGGAGGCCTGCTTCTTCTCCCTCTCCCTCTGCCCTTCCCCCTGCTTGTGCGCCCACTCTCCAGCTCTCTCTCAATAAATAAAATCTTAAAAAAAAAATTGAATTTCAATAAAACATTAAAAGATACATTCTTTTTTTTTTTTTAAGATTTTATTTATTTACTTGACAGACAGAGATCACAAGTAGGCACAGAGGCAGGCAGAGAGAGAGAGGAGGAAGCAGGCTCCCTGCCAAGCAGAGAGCCTGACCTTGATCCCACGACCCTGGGATCATGACCTGAGCTGAAGGCAGAGGCTTTAACCCACTGAGCCACCCAGATGCCCCTAAAAGATACATTCTTTTTTTTTTTTTTAAGATTTTTAAAAATTTTTTTTTTATTTGACAGATCGCAAGTAGGCAGAGAGGCAGGCAGAGAGAGAGAGGAGGAGGAGGCAGGCTCCCTGCTGAGCAGAAAGCCCGATGCGGGACTCGATCCCAGGACCCTGAGATCATGACCTGAGCTGAAGGCAGAGGCTTTAACCACTGAGCCACCCAGGCGCCCCTAAAAGATATTCTTTTTTTTTGTTTTTGTTTTTGTTTTTAAAGATTTTATTTATTTATTTGACAGAGAGAGATCACAAGTAGATAGAGAGGCAGGCAGAGAGAGAGAGAGAGAGAGAGAGAGAGAGGGAAGCAGGCTCTCCGCTGAGCAGAGAACCCGATGCGGGACTCAATCCCAGGACCCTGAGATCATGATCTGAGCCGAAGGCAGCAGCTTAACCCACTGAGCCACCCAGGCGCCCCTAAAAGATACATTCTTAAAAAAAAAAAAAAAAAAAAGAGGTCATTTAGAAATGCCCACCATGCTCCAAGAGGCTGAAGCCATGGATAGTACGCCGAAGAGCCGGACACAGTGAATGGGGGAGAGTCTGGCATGCAGTATGTCTAGGCTGGGGGGGGGGTGCATTTCTGAGAGCGACTAATCACGATGCACCTCCACCACGGGCTCAGGGACCTTTCTGTCCCCTGCTGATGTCCTCAGCATCCAAGGACCCTGATCACTTGTAAATACAGCTGGCTTATGTGGATGTGGAAATGCCCTTGAAATGCCCTTGACAGAACAACCCGTTAATGCAAGGGACAGAGACCTCCTCCAGGCCCCCTCCAAAAAACTTCCATTCACCCTTAGGCTCAGCTCGCATAACCCTCCCCATGGCCTGCCCTCCCTGGGCTCTGGGCAGGCCCCCCTTGTCGCATCCTCTGTTCCTGCCCCGAAGCCCTAACCATACACACTGGGCTGCCACCAACCCAGAGACAGAGAATCAAGGCCACCGTGGGAGACCCTGGACTCCCAGCCAACAAGCCCACTCTCATCTGACTCTGAACGGGCCACCGTCCACCTGGAGGCCACAAAGAGGAAATGCCCACCCGGGAGGGACCCAGAACCACACGGCAACCCCACATACCTGGCCCCGCCCAGAGAGGCCTTGGCCAAACAATCCTGGTCATACCCCACCCTGACGCCCACACCCGTCAGAGTCCAGAGCCCTCTGCCTCCTGACACTCGGGGTGGGCAAAGGGGGCCGGGGACCATTTCCTGCTCTCTGAAGAGTTATCTGTGCTCAAGCACCACACGGTGTGGTTCTGGGGGCCTAGGGGTTGGGCTGAGACTGTAGCAGGGGAGGGAGGGGCTGCTAATTTCTTAGGCCCCAGACTGGCCAGGCCCTTCCAATGATTCCAACCCAGCTCTCCATCCTCCAGATCAAACACTCCCAGGGCCACAGGCCCATCAGTATCCAAATTCTAAAACCTTCACAGTCAAGGTGACCCACGTTGTTGGCTGAACAGCATGGTCCCCAAAGGACAGGTCACACCCCAAACCTGGGACTGTGACCTTCCCTGAAACAATGGTCTTTAACCAACTGAAATGAGACGTGATCCTGGGTTATCGCCTGGTCCTAAATCCCACAACTGATGTCCCACAGAGAAGACACAGGAGATGGCTGTGTGACAGCAGAGAGACTGGAGTGGGCGGCCACAAGGCCACGGCTGCCAGGGGCCACCAGGGGCTGGAAGAGGCAGGAGAAGCCTCCCGGCAGCCCCCCTACCCACCTTGACTGTGGACGTGACTGTGAAGGAATCCATTTTCTTTGTTCTAAGGCCCCAGTCTGTGGTCACTGGCTATAGCAGCCCCAAGACTCTGACATCCCTGCAGGGAGGCCCTGATGCTGGATGGCGGCGGTCTGATCACATGGGCAGGGGCGCAGCGGCCCCGCGTGACGGTCTCTGACCCAGCGTATGCAGGCAGAGCCCTGGCAAACTTGTCTCTGAACAATGGAGCCCTGTAGAACCAACCCCCCCAGGTGTTCTTCTTGGTCGGCTGCCCCCCAGAGAGCTCGGAGCCGCAGAGGGGTACCGAATTCCGAGTCAGCATCCTGTCTGGGGTGCCGGGTGCCCATCTCCAGCCCCGCAGGCCCGGTTCGCCTGGGAGCAGCCCCAGGAAGGCCCCACGGGGGCTCCCTCTGGGCTCCCGGCAGCCCTGGAGGTCACAGCGGCCCTCACAGCAGCCACACCCTATCCCCATCACCATTCACAGGCAGGGAGGGCCCCCACGTGCCGAGGCAGAATTTTCAATCTGACACCCTATTACATCACGCCCAGCAAATATGAGGGTCTCTGGGGCAAGGGGTCCCCTGACTGGCCTCCCTGGGCGCACACATCAGTACTGCCCCTGGGCAGTCCGCACCCCACTCTCCCTCCTCCAGGGCCCCCACGTGGATGGGATCTGGTGGGGGGAGCGCTGCCCTGGACCCACTGCCCAGTGGCCCAGCTCCAACCACCCACACGGTTGGGTGCCCTTCTCCTCCTCTGCTCTGGACCCCAGAGTGCTGACCCCACCAAATATACCAGAACTTGGGGCCCTGAGGGCACATCTGGCGGGAGGGGGGCTCTGGCTGGTGTCTCACCACACATACCCCTGGGGAAGCTGTGCTCAGAACTCAGAAACCCTAAGGCCTGGTTTGCCCACCACACAGCTGGAGACCACAGCCCCACAAACCCCCTGCACCTCACTACCCCACCCCCGCGGCCTGCCTTTGCATCGTCAGACATTTCCCCTCCCCCAAGCCCAGGACCCAACTCATCAAAAAATTCAGATGTCTCACTGCCTTGAGCAGGAGCCTCACCTGCATATGACTTAGGTCCTTGGAGGCAGGGCCCCACAGGCTGCCCCCCAGGGCTGGCTCCCATGGCAGGACCCACTGGCACGCGGTCCCCTTCTGCCTGTCCCACCCTGCCCACTCTTTGCAGAAAGAGGGACCCAGCCAGCCAGAGGTCCCTCTGCTGGGGAGTTCTGGGCAGGACCAAAGTCCCAGAGTCCTGTGGATCCACCTGTGATAGGCCTCCGGCCAGGGGGAGACTGTCAGGGGGGGGGATCAGTGTTCCTAGATGGAGGGGGCACAGGTGGGGAGAGATGGCCTGCCGCTCAGAGCCTCCAGGGTCCCCTCACACAAGGGAGGGGGCTGTGATCCCATCTGGCAGGGGTCCCAGATAGGGTTGTATAGCTCCCACCCAAACCCCTCCAACCCAACACCCCAGCTGAGGTCGTCCCGGGCATGGGACAGGTCACTGGGAGACCACTGGGATGCAATGCCAGCCCTGGGCAGCCAGCACTGGTGGGCCCGGGCTCCTCCAGCCAGAGGGCAGGGGTTTCCTGCCCCCAGTGCCGCGCACACAGCCATACTTGACAAGCAATGGGCGTCTCCACAGGGGCCGAGCTCCCCGTGGGAGAAGGACCAGGCTCTGCTACTCCAGCCTGCTCCCGCCCGCTCCCACCCACACGCACACTTCGGGAACACACTCCTCACCAGGGCACGACCACGGCCCCCACCGTGGGGGGCCTGGCCCCCAGCCTCACCTGCACCTTAGGATACCTGTCCTCCCCCCATCCCCCTGCTGTCGGGGCTCAAGGACCACGGGAGCTGGTGTGGCCACGAGGAATCCTCACTCCAAAAATATGTTCTCGGCATGTCCTCGATGGACATGCTCATTCTTTTCCCCTTTTTCTCTTTTTCATTAAGTCCGAACATAAATGCCCTGGGGCTCCGTGACCAGCCCCAGGGCCAGGCATTGCGATGGGCCAGCCTGGCTCCAGGGAGCTGGGCACCCCTCCTCCTACCCTCAGCAGCCAAGGCCAGACAGGGGCCGCCAGGGTCTGGCCTCGGCTGAGCACCAGGTCTGCAGACACAGAACCTTTGCCTGCCATGTCCCCAAGATGCCAGCAAGATGCACGCAGCTGGGGTGGGGGGAGGGCTCGGGAGGAGGCGCACGGCTCCAAGCCGCAGGTTTCAGGGCCCCACGTACTTACAGTACCCACACCTGGTCCCGCCTTCAAAGATGAACCCGTTGGGCACGGCCCCGTAGCGCCGGAGGTCGGACAGCTTCCACTGGCCCATGACCGCTGGGGGGACGTCCCTGGCCAGCACGAGAACGTCATTGCAGAGGTGAAGGGTGGCGGGGCCGCTCTCCAGCTTGGTGCCCGGCGCCACCGCCACATGAAACCTATGCACTGGGGGCAGGGGAGGAGCAAGAGGGCGTCACCGCTAGCAGAGGCCCGGCTGCCCCCCACCCCAGCCCAGTCAGTGCCCTCCCGCTCCTAGACGCGATCCTGGTCCAGAGGCCACCCTCCCTGTCCTAACAAGGCCGACTCGACCCCAGCAAGCCCCAGGCAGCCCCTGGCTCAGGCCCCAAACACGCAGCGGCTGAGGCCAGAGATATTATAATGATTTTTTGTTAAAACTAATTAAAATTAATGCACAAGTCTGTGATGAATGGGGTATCAAATGGCTAAATAAAGACAAGGCTGTTCAGGGTTGCAGGGGTGGGTCAGGAGGGCAGGGGAAGGCAGGGCAGGCTCGGGGCAGGGTCAATGTCGGTGTTCTGCTCATCATAGGCTATGTTCGTTGATCCTGAGGGTTTTAAAAACCGTGTTAAAGCGTCATTGATCTTGATGGCTGTGTTCCTTGGCGTCTGACGTAAGGCCCCTCCTCCTCCTCCTCTCCCAGCCCACCAGGGGCCCCCCACTCTGCGCCCAGCCCGGCCACCCCTGCACCGGCCCTCCTCACTCCCCGGCTCAGGCGCAGAAGGCACCACACCCCTGGTGGGCGATGCAGTGGGATGGGGTCTCCGTGGCCTTGCTCCCCCTGGAACGCTGGCTCCAGGCTCCGGGTGGGGGGCAGCCAAGGGGAGCACGAGGACAGTCACTGTGCTGGGATAGAGGCCCCTCGGAGGAAGGACCGTGTTCTAACTAACAGGATTGAGTCAGGGAGCTTGGACCGCCCCGCGGCCCCCGCTGCTCCCCAAACCCCCTCCCAGACCGCAAGCCCAGGGCACAGACCCTGGCAGGAGAGGCGCTCGGCACACTCGTCACAGCTCTGGCAGTCTGTGCGTGAGGGTCCCCGTCCTCGCCCCGTGTGTGCCGCCCTGGCCCCACTCACCCTCGCCCAGCGCATAGCGGATGCGGGCATCCCAGGCGCACATGGCCTCACGGCTCTCGAAGCCCAGCATGACGGCCTGGGACAGGCAGAGGATGGCCAGCGTGTGGGCCAGGCCCTCGTAGGGCAGGCCGGGCTCCAGCCCGCAGATGTCCTCCAGCGTCAGGCTGCTGCGCTCCCGGAGGCCCTTGGCTCGCTCCGCCTTGTCCTTGTAGACCAGCATCAGCAGGCAGTCTGCGGGAGCGGGGCAAGACATGTGGCACAGGCCATCAGCGGCACCGCCCCTGAGCCCCCATGCGCCCCTGCGCCCCCTGCAGAGGGAGAGTCCCAGGCTCGAGTTATGGCCCCCAGCAAGCCACCCAGAGGCTCCGGGGCAATGTCTTGCACGGTGCACGGGCCCCCTGGGGCAGAGGCTGGCCTGGAACACTCCACAGCTGGGCCTGCCCCCCTGGCTCTGGCTCTGTGATGGAGATGCCCCTGACCTGTGTCACCAGAGGTCTGGGCACTGAGAGAGCCACGAGAAGGAACCCCCTACAGGACAGGGAGCCTCTGCGGGCTACAGGACAGCCAGCCTCAGGAGGGAGCACCAGGCAAGGCCGCCTGTGCGCGCTAGGACACGGTGACCACCCTTGCCGCTCCTCTCCCCCAAGAAGGCTCTGGGATCCGGCACAGCGGGTTGTCTGTGTAGAAGTCGGTCCCTTGTCTATCTGCCATCCCCAGCTGTCCTCCCTCCCAGCAGCCCTGAAGGTGGGTTCTTGCTGGCAGGCCATCTGTCTGCTCAAGCACAGGGAGGGCATGGAACCATCTGTCAGATGAGTGAGACTGTCACCTCCTTTGTTCTAGGAGTCATGCTCCCAGGAATACAGCCATAAGCAGGGTCAATGCAGCTGTCTGTAAAGAGCCAGACAGGAACTGCTTCTGGCCTCACGGGCCATGCGGCGTCTGGCCCAGAGACCTAACTGTTTTAAAGCAGCCAGAGTAGCGTGTGAGTGAATGGCTACGGTCCAATAAAACTGTATTGCAGAAACAAGCCGAGGGCTAGATTTGGCTCGGTATGGTACTTTGCAGAGTCCCAGCCTAGAGCGGAGTCTGCCACCGCCACCACAGCGCCCTCACATGGCCCTCCTGAGGGCCTCCCTGAGGCCCTCCTCACGCACCTGTTCCATCTGTTTGGATTCTGGCTTTGTCAGATCTCTGCAGCCCCAGGACACTAGCACATCCTCCAAGTCACTGCTTGCAAACAGGCTGAAGGAGGCGGCTATGTCGCTCTCCCAACTTCTGCCCAGAGTCGGGGGGAGGGGCTGACCCAGGTCACCGCCCAGTTTCGGCTAAAGCAGCTGGCATCCACCTCGCACTAAGAGCCCCCAAGTCCCAGCAGCACAGGTGAGAAAGGGGTGATGGGGAGGGGGCCAGGTTGGGCACAGCAAGTGTGGGGCCCCGGGGGGGGGGCCTGGGACTGCAGCTGCTCCCGCCCCCTCCCCTCCGCGTCCCCTGGGGCAATAAATGGATCATATTTTTAAAAACCTCTTCCCTGGGAGCGCTCTTCACCACCAAGCAGCTTCACCGACAGGCACCGGAAGGATGTGAGTGCTCAGGTCCGGCCCAAGACAGAGCAGGGCCAGCCCAGGAGAGACCGCATCCACCCCTCCCGGGCCACAGCACCCCTGCACACACACACGGGACAGCATGCTGAAGCCTGCCCCAGAGGGACAGCTCCACCGGACACCCTATGGCCTCGCCCCTCACCAACAAGACTGGTCGCTTGGTGAGGGCTCCTGGCCGCCAGCTCAGGAGGGGCACCGGACAACCTGCTCCAATGGCCCCCATTGGGCTCCCATCCATGTGGCTGTGTGGGCCCAGCTCACGGCCAGAGGACACCAGGGGGTGGCCAGGCTGCACTGTGGCCCGAGAGACAGGATGCGGGGCCATCCACAGGGCCCACAGAGGGTCTGGGCCCAGGAAGCTGAAGGCCCGGGGCAGGGGAAAGAGGGGCTCATGGTGATAACGAGGTAAACCAAGGCAGCGACGACTGACAGGTACACACGCACACACACACACTCACCAGCAAAGACACACACGTGTGCTTACCCACATATCTGCACACATACATGCACACAACCCACCCCACTGCCGTGGCTGCTGAGCCCCTCCAAGGGCACGGGTGCCATGGTGGGAGACTGGCTGACCCTGTCCCAATCACGTCCACGACCACAGACTCAGGCTCAGTCTGCTTTCCATCTGAGGAATGGACACTGCTCTGCCCAGGCCAGGTGCTAACAGCCCTAACCCCCAACAAATGCCCTCCACCAGCAGGCACTGAGCCCCCCAGCAGGGAGCCTTGGGCCAGGATCCCCCTTGAGCTCACCCTGCCCTGCAGCAACTGTGCCCTGCTGTGAGCGAGGGCGGTCCAATGGGCTCCCATGAAGACCCCCTGCTGGGATACATCAGAGCCCCCACGCCTCCCGCTCTGAAGCCCCTTGCCCCATCATCCCCCTCATGAGCAGCCAGGGGACCCAGGGGACAGCCCAGGCCCCCCAGAGCTGACACCCAGGAGGAGAGATGGTCAAAGAGATGACAGGGGCTGCGGGGGCCTGAGTGCAGGGCCGAGACCCTCCCAAAGGACATAATGCAGAAAACTTCTAAGTGACGCCAGAAGCCAGCACGCAGCCCCACCGGGATCAGTGCTGTGCTGGAGGGAACAGCCAGAGTGAAGGCTCAGGGGCAGGAACACAAAGGGCTCGCGGGCAGGAGAACGAGGGGAAGAGTGGCATGCGGTGCCAGGTCAGGGGCCTGGTGAGCCTGGGGCAGAGCAGAGGCTGGTCAGGGAAGAGGTGCTCTAGGCTGGGCCAGGCCTTGTGGTAACCATGGCGACAGCCAGGCTCGGACCGGGGTGGGGAGGACTTCCCAGCAGGGCAGATGTGGCAGAGGGAAGAAAGTGCTGGCAACACAGGGACAGGGGGTGGGGGGGATCTAGGTTCCTAGAGGAACCTAGTCCTGGTTCCTCTACCGGGGGCTCCCCCCCAGGTTCCTACTCCTATGGTGCTCTCCACACAGGGCCTGCCTTTCCTACTGCTCCTGCACACACACGGGAAGGCTCAGGAAAGGCTCCATGACCACCGAGGCCTAGAGACCCAGATTCAGGGGGTGGGTGGGCAGGGGCATGTGGGGAGGGGGCTACGGGGGCGGGGCTTGTGCCGGTCCCTCCAGGACACGTGAGCACAGAGGCCCATCGGACACCGTGCACAAACGCAGGCGGCTGGACACAGGAGTGTGCAGATGTAAAAATAACCATGGGGTCATGAGCCCTCGAAGCCGCTAGCAGCCAGGGGCTGAGAGCCTGGGGGAGGGCGGGCCGTGGAGAGGCACACCTCCGGCCTCGGGCCTGGGGAGAAGCTGTGGCAGGATGGAGACAGAGATCCACACCCACGTGGACGGACGCAGCAGGAGCAGCAGCGGCTGGAGTCAGTCCTCCTGTCAGTGACCTTGGCACAGTGCCTTCAGCTGAGCTGCTAGAGCCCAAGGGGACTCTGCTGGATAGGGGCAGTCTGGAGGCAGCAGCTGGGGACAAGGGCTGCTAACCAGGCTGAAGCCGGGAGGCGGGACAGAGCGCCAGCCCAGCCCTGTTCAGGATCTGACTAGGAAGGAAACACGTTCACACTGTTCATGGGGGACATGTGCAGGGCTGTGCGGCTCACGAGGACAGGCCACCCCAAGAACACAGGCATCAGTGGGGGCACACAGGCCGTGGGGGCTCAGTCCTCTGCCCACTAGGCTGCCATCCACCCTCAGCAGGTGCCACAGCACGAGCCTGACCAGGACCGGTGTGGGTCACACAGTGCGCGTGGGCAACACCGAGATCTGAGCCTGGGGGCTCCAACCCCCAGCCCCGCCCCCCGCACATCTTCGAGGTCTCCACGAAGACAGAAAGGCTGGCCACTGCTCACACTCCATCCTCTGGCTCCCTGCCCAGCCTGGGACTGGGACGTCATGCCCATTCCCATGGGACACAGCCTCTCCCCACCACCACCACCACCTGGTGCCTGGCTCTCTTGGAATACGCCCCTCTTAGAGAGGCTGACAGCCGAATGGCCCCGCTCCTGCACGACCCCTGGTGTTGGAGACCAGCTGGGCTCACAGCCCCCACCAGGCTGCCTAAGAATGGCGAGGCAGGTCCTTGTGCCCCAGGACTGGGGGCGGGAGGGGCGGAGTGAGACTCTGGGTCTAGGGACAGAGATGGTAGGTGGGCTCAGAGGGGCAGGAGCCTACCTTGCATTGGCCTCCATCCCTTCCACCATCCAGGTTCTCATGCAAGGCCCTGCCTGGAGTGTCCTGCTCTCGCTCTTGCAACAAACCCCCTCAAACCTAGTCCTGGTTCCTCTGCTGGGGGCTTCCCCCCAGGTTCCTACTCCTATGGTGCTCTCTGCACGGGGCCTGCCTTTCCTATTGCTCCTGCACACACAGGAAGGCTCAGGAAAGGCTCCATGACCACCGAGGCCTAGAGACCCAGATTCTGGATTCCAGGGACACCTGCAAACTCCCCACAGTGCAGAAAGGCCCTCCCTCTGCCGGCAGGTGCTCCCGGGGTCCAGCAGGAAGCTCACCGGTCAGGTAGCTCTCTCTGATACTGAGAGAAAATCCACCCCCCAGGGCTGCAGAGAGGACAAAGACCACCTCTGGGGCTACTCTTCAGTCCATCCCACCCCCAAACCTGCAGCCAGCCCCTTCCTCCAGCCACAGCTGGCCCAAGGCTCCTCAGTGGTACTGGGGGCTGTGCCTCGGTCTGACCAGTGCCTCTGCAATCCCGCCTTCCAGGGCCCACTCAGTCTCCCCAGGCCCCACAACTTGTCCGCCAGCCCTGACCCTGGATACGGGCCCCTGGGGCACCAGGCGCAGGGTCTGGACAGGAAGAACTGGGTGGCTGAGCGAGCCATCCGGGGAGACAGGGGCCCCCTTGGAAGGGGAAGCTGAGGCCTGGGAACCTACCAAGTGTGTCCCCGGCCAAAAGTAGGCCCTTGGATGGCAACCGTGAGCAGGCGCGGCCCAGGGAATTAGGGAATTTAGGAGAGAGAGCAGGGAGGACGCCCCCCACCCAATCCTTCCTGGGAAATGACAGACACCCTGGGCGCCCTAGAAGGCATTCTGGCAGCCCCACATGTGTGAGGCAGTATGCAGTCACACGCCCAGCACCCCACACAGACCCAGGGGTGCCTGGGCCGACGCCAGGACACCTGTCTCCTGAAACAGCTGCAGGCCGGGAGCTCCAAGCCCCCCAAATGCAAGAGTATGGCTCGCTGAGGCCAAATGTTCCCGTCAGGGCCTGGCCTCCTCCCACTTTGGGGGTGCTGACCCAACTGAGGGGGGCTGGGTAGTCCCAGTCACTCCTCCCTCCCCCAACAACCTAGTCTTGCCTCTTCTCCCCAGCGGAAGCACCCCTGTTCTTACCTGGGGGCCCAGCCTCTGCTCTTGCCACCCAAGGTGGGAAGGGCCCCCTGGGTGGACGCTGCCTGCAGGGTCCCCTCGGGATTCGGATTCAGGGGCAACATTCAATCCCCCCAGGCGCACAGGGCTGGCGCCTCCCCAGGGGTGCTCCCCCTGCCCGCAGGAGAAGGGGAGAGCACCCTCTACCCTGGCGCTCCTGACCCCTGCGGCCCGCCCCCCTTGCCCCGCGGGCCCCCACCGCCCAGCCCCGGCCGTCCCGGGAAACTGGGGTACGGGAGGGTCCCGGCAGGAGCAGGCCCCAAGGCGGCGCGCTCCGCTCTCCGGTTACCGCCCGGCCGGCGCCGCCGGCTATTTCGGGCGAGCTGGCCACGCTCCGGGCAGGCTAGGCTCCGGAGGCCGGGGTGCCTGCCGCCCGCCGCCCGCCGCCCGGCCGTGCCCCGCGCCCCGCGCCCGCTCACCTGCCACCGGCGACGGCTTGCGCAGCACCAGCCACCTAGTCTTCCACTGCGGGGACAGAGGGAGCGTAAGCGGCCGCCGCGCCCCGCGCCCGCCCCGCGCCCGCCGCGCGCCCCGACCTTCTTGCCGTCCCGAAGCTTGACCTGGCCCTCCACCAGCGCCGCCTCGGTCATCTTCTGTCATGGTTCCCGTCGCGCCCGCCGCGCCTCTCCCCGCCGCCCCGCGGCCGCGCAGCCCAGGGTCACTTTCAAAATAGCTCGGGGAGGGCGCTGCGCCGCCGGCGGTGGGCGGGCCGGCGGGGGCGGGGCGCGGGCGGGGCACCTGGGGCCACCTGCACCCGCCGCCTGGGGCTCCGAGGGGCTCCCGGGGGCGGGGTGGGGGGGTTCTCATCCCAAAGCAACGGAAACACTCTGACCACCCGGAGACTCGTTCCAAGTGTGTCTTCAACCAACCCGGCTTCACCCTCGGGCCCCTGCCCCTCCCCCCATCCCAGGGCTGTCCCCAGACACCCTGACCACCCCCTGACCCTGGAGGACCCTGGCCAGGTTGCTGCCTCACCGCACCCCCCCCCCAGCCCTCCCGCCCCCTCCTCTGCAGGGTAGTGGGGAGGGAGTCTGTTTGTGTCCCCTGGCAGCATGGATCCCAGTGCGGGTTGCTGTGGGCCAGTGGATGGGACCAGGACCACCCCCTCCCCGTCCCAGGTCAGTGTGTCTGGTCTCCCTGACACTGACACCAGCTAAGAGCCATCCCCTCTGGAGAGGTGCTGTGAAGCTCTTTGGAAGACCCACAGGGAGCCCCCTTCACAGCAGGAGGTGGGGGGCTCTGAGCGTCTGGATTTTCCCTCCCAGATCCTGTAGATCGAATCCGGCTGACCCTGGTCCTTCCAGAGCCCAGGTGGTCTGGGGGCTCTGGCAGGTGTACCCCTTGGACATGTACCCCCATTTCCAAGATGGCTTCCAACACCCACCGCTTCAGGAGTATCCAACAAGGGGGCACCAGCAGAGCTGGGGGGCAGTACCCTAGTAGTGTGCCCTCCTTCCCGTTCCCAACCTTGAGGGGCTTATGATCCAGCAGGGCGAAGAGGGAAGGAGTAAACACTGTTCCAGGAACTCAGCACCTACACGGCAGGAAGGCTGGAGTGTGTGGGGCTTGAATGTGTCTTTACCCCATCCAGGCCCTTCAGGTGTAATACTCAGAGCAGCAGGCAAGGGGGAGGGCAGGGGGTTTGGGGTCCCCAAGGAGCAGCCATCCTGCTGGGTGCAGGTGCAGAAGGCCGGTTCACCCCCTCAGGGCACACCCTCTCCTCAACGGTCCCTGGGGACCTGACAGTGTCCCTGGTGGGCCACAGGCTGGACTCCGATGCAGGGTTACGCCAGGCCCAGAAAGAGCTCTGTTTCTCCCACTGCCACCACCTCCCCCATCCCCACATCACCTGTGCTGCCTTTGGCAGAGCAGTTGCCCAGCCACAGAGCCCCATTCATGCCCCCATGCAGCTCAGGCCCCCAGGGGCTGGCGCAGGACAGCCGGCCTGGAGCCGGATGGCTGCCGGGGGCTGGGGCCAGAGACACATCCGCTGCACCGGGCGCCTGGCACTCAGACGTCCCTGCCCCGGGGGGCCCCAGAAAATGCGGCTGAGGCACGTCCCCTCCCCCCACCGGGCTGCTAAATGGCAGGAGAGCCTCCTCCCCCCAGAACTTGGGCCTCTCTGCCCCTCAGCTTCCACTGTGGACCCCAGATTCATGTGTTGAGACCAACCCCCAGAGAGATGGAGTTGGGAGGTGGGGCCTTTGGGCCGTGATTAGATCAGGAGAGCAGAGCCCGCGGAACCCAGTGACAGACTGTTCCACTGAGGATTTTTCAACCTTAGGATGGTGGGGAAACCATGCCCATCCAGTAGAAACCATCCTGTAGATTCCCACTGCAGGTCTTTTCCAGGGAGACCCAGGAGACAGCCGACACTGTTTTCTAGAACAGGCCTCGTGCCAGGCAGTCCTGCCCACCTGCAGGCTAACGTGAGTGTCCCAAGCGTGTGGCCACCTGGCCCCGCTGAGCTGCGCATTCGGTCACTTAAGTGTGTTCCATGCATTTTGGACTCACGATATTTTCAATGTAAGCTCATTGTGAGCTGAGGAAGGTGTGTCATGCCCTTACAGTGTCCTTGTAAGAAGTGACACAGAAAGACACGCTCTCTCAGCCACATGAGCGCTGCCACCCACCCCCCTGCCCCCGACCCTGGGAGGTGCCTGTCCACACTCAGGAAGCCAGCATGCCCGCACCCAGATCTCAGAGTTCTGACCTCCAGGACTGTGAGAGACAAATGCCTGCTTCTCAGCCAACCAGCCTCCGGTGTTCTGTTCCAGCCCCCCAGGGGCACAGGGACCGTTGCCCCACTGGTTATGGCCAGAGCTGCTTTTGCAAGTGGCAGAAGAGGACTCTGGCCACAGAAGGAGGAAGGAATTTGCTGGAAGCACGTCAGGCCTCCAGTCGAACCCAGGAGAGGCCTCAGAGTCTGTGGGAGTTTGGGGAGGCTGGGCAATAGGGATGCACAGCCCTGTTCCCGAGACCGGATGCCACCCCGGCCCCACACCGCCACACAGCTGGGCTTGGCAGCCACTGGACACGGCTGGCGCCCACCCAGCAGCCCACGGCCATGAATGACAGCTGCACCGCGGGCGGACCACACAGCCCGGGGCCCCACTGCCGGACATCATGGCCTGGGATGCCACCGCTGCTGCCAGAATCTGTGGCCAGGGGCACCATCGTCCCATCACTGGCTGTGCAGACACAGCGCCTGCTGCTTGAGGCCCACCCCCGGCCCCCTGACCCCTCCACTCACCACCTGGTGAACCCAAACCATCATGTGACATTCTGGTCTCAGTTTCCTCTTCTGGCCTCATTATGATGATGGGCCCCCACATGCAACTGTGCGTATGAGTGTCTCTGAAAATGGCCCTGGGTCACAAACACAGGGATCGTCAGGACCAGGCCCAGTGTCTCATCTTGGGCCTCCAGGAGCTCAGTGTGGCTGGGGACAAACACATAGCACCTGCCCTGTGTCCCCCCCACCCCCCTTGCTCACTCATATTTCACAGCACCCCCTGGTTGGCAGGGGGGTTGCAGGGAGAAGGCCTGGCCAGGGGCGCACGGGCAGAGGGTATGAGCGCCACTCCCAGGCCCAGCCCCCACATACATCCCACGAGCTAAGTCGTGTCCCCCAGACCCATGGGTTGAAGCCCCCACCTTTCCATGTGGCTGTATTTGAAGATAGGCTCTCTAAGGAGACAAATCAGGCTAAGTGAGGTCAAGAGGGGGCATCCCAATCCCACAGGACTTCAGCCTCACCAGTAGGGGGGAATACAAAGCCATCTCTCCCCTCTCGGGGCGCATGCACACAGGAGTCTGTGAGGACACAGCGCAGAGGCAGCCCTCTGCGGTCTGGGAGGGAGGCCTCACCAGAAACCAGTGCTGCTGAATCTTGATCTTGGACTTCAGCCTCCAGAATGGTGAGAAAATAAATTTCTGTTGTCTCCTCCCCAGCGGGGCAGCCCAAGCCAACAGAGAATGGGGGTGATCCCTTGAAAAGATGGTGGCGATGATGCCCCCACAGCCTCACCCCTGGAAATGAGGCCATATACCCCATCCCATGGAGACCGAGTCTGCCTCTCCACCGGCCAGCTGATGGCTTTGACAAAGGAGGCGCAGTGGGAATGCTCACAGACACTCTGGGAGCCTCTCACGTGAACAAGCGTAGGCTAACCCGCTGCGTGAGAAGCCACACGCGGCCTCGTCCCCACATGGCCCCAGCCAAGAGCCCGTTGGCCCCCAGGAGTTGGACAGCCCAAGACCCACTGATGCCTCCAGCTTAAGGGAAGGAGCCAGCCCAGCCCAGAAGAACCAGCCAGAAGTCTCACAGACAGCAGGCATGGTGGGGGAGAGAAGGAACCCACGTCGGCACCCGTCACGGGGACCCCATGGCCCGTCACAGGGAAGGGGGTTGAAAAAGCTGCCAGAGGGGAAAGGGGTTTTAAGAAAGATCCACTGGAGTAAAGCAGATGTTCAGCAGGCCCGGCGGCCATGGAGAACCTTCCAGCAGCCGAGAGAAAGGAAGGACGTGGGCACGTCTGAGATTCAGAGACGGGGGAATGCCAACAGCTGTGTGGCCCACTGCCGAAGTTCGGACAGTCAATTCATAAAGTGCAAACTCTGTGACTGACTCAAGAAGAAACAGAATTTTCCCTGAGACTGGTAATGATTAACATACTGAACCACAGGAAAATGTCATCCTGCAAAGGAAATACGGGGCCCGGGGCATTTCATAGAGGAGTCCCCCAACTTTCAGAGAGAGATCATTCCAGCCTTATCCAGAGTCCTTGGGGAATAATAAAGAAGACACACTCTCAAACTGATCCTGTGAGTCGTTTGAAGACAGCAAGGAAGGCCAATCTCACTCACAAGCCTGATGTGAAATCCTAAACAAAATACAAGCAGATGGTAAAAAGCTTGTAAAAAGTTCAGAGGGTGGGGGTCACCCTGGGGCCCACCAGGCCACGCGCTATCAGGACAATTCAGAGCGGTGGTTTTGGAAGGGAGTCACCAGGGGTGAGTGGGGGGACGGGGCTAGACAGGAGCAGTGGATACTGCCTGTAGGCACGAGGGGGAGGTCCCTGGACCACGAAACAGAGGGTCCCTGGCTTGCAGATGGCCACTGTCCCCTGTGGCACTTCCGTGTGCCTGACTGTGTCCACATTTCCCCTCCTTCTAGGGATGCAGTCCTCTTGGGTCCCAGCCCACGCTCGCGGCTTCACGGGAACTTGATCACTTCTGTAATGACCCTCCGTCCAGGTAAGATCCCATTCTGAGGTCCTGGGTCTGGGACTTCAACATTTGAATTTTAGGAGGACACGGTTCACCCTGTAACATGGAGGTGACCCCCGAACGGGGTAGCCAGGGAAGTCAATATCCCAGTGTCACTCTCCTCCCTCCTCTGATCTGCTGGGGGGCTCCCCAGTGTCCTCAAAAACCCAGCGGGCACAGGAGCCATGCCGTCCATGGAGATCAGCCTCCTGGGGCACCAGAGCTCTGGGCGCAGAAGGCAGACAACGGACAGCGACCTGGACGGGCGGCTGGAAGATGCCAGACACGCATGGGCTCCACGCAGCTCACTGCAGGCCGG